GACTTCTCTCCTGTATGAGTGGTAGCCCAACAGGCATGTGAGAATGTGTCGATGGACACAAAAATATACTTAAGCTTTCCAAAAGGAGCATAGTGTGTGACATCCATTTGCCACAAGGAATTGGGCTTTAGTCCCCTGGGGTTTACCCCTGGCTGTTGCAGAGGCGGTACCTGTGGAAGGTTGACAAGACTTATAGGTATGTACAATCTTCTTTAGGTCCTTGATGGGAACTTGAGGAAACCGCTTATGGAGTCCCCGCCAATTTACATGAGTGAGGTTACATAATCCCTGAGCTTCATTTAGGCCTGCTGACAGGACCTGGGTGGAAGCCATCTTGTCTGCCTCCGCATTGCCTTGGGATAAAAGCCCAGGCAATCCTTGGTGCTCCCTAAGATGCTGTAAGAAGATAGGGGCTTTTTTTCTCTTTAAGGAGCTTATGAGTCTGAATACTGTCAGAAAGCAATGGCCATGATTCCTTGAATTGAGCTGAGCCATCACAAGTGTGGACATATCTTTTTGGTTTCTCATCTGCCCCCAGGTATACTACCACTGCAGCTCCAAATCTGCCCCCGTCAGTGAAAACATTGTAGGCTTTTACTAAGGGCTCCCTCGGCCCTGGATTCAGTGAGCGCTGCTGCCAGCGGGTCTGTAACACTCGGGAGTGGGGGGGGGAGCGGATACCTGGCCGCCCGCAGGATGGACAGGACAAAGCCCCCCCTCAGCCACCTTCCCCAAACTGAGCCTTCCCAGCCATCCCAGAGCCAGTTGGGGTGCACTGCCAATGGTGGTTTTGTTTGTTTGTTTGTTTGTTTGTTTGTTTGTTTGTTTGTTTTTAAATGTGCCCAGCAGCAGCTGGTCATGCAAGCCCCTGACTCATGCACGCATTAGACTCTTTGGTCCGTGTTTTAAGATGGGTCAGGTGGGCAACTTTCGCTGCTGATCCTGTGCGCTCCATTCCGCCCCCTTTCTGAAAAAGGAACCCATGGGTCCTGAGCATGGGTCCCAGGAAGCCCTGAAGCTGGCCAGGGCAAGCCGGAGGTGCCGCTTGTTACTTTGGCCGCCTTTGGTTTTACTTTTGTTGTATTTCTGCATTTTTCTCTCAAACTCTTCCCATGATTCCCATGCTGGGGTGGGGGGTTGTTTTGAAGGCTAGTCAGGAGGTGGTGCCGAGGGCTTAGGGCTCTCAGGTGGAAGGCATGCCTTTAAGGCTGAGATACTAAGGTAGAACTCCAGCAGTGGATCAATCCCCAATTGAACCTCCCTTTGTCAAGCTAGGCATTCCACATGTTCCCATGCATCCCCAGTTAAAACATTAGCCCCAAGTAGCCAGGGGGCCAAATGAATGGCTTCTGCCCAACCCTTTTGAGCTGCCACATGTGACAGATCCAATCCCCTACTTTTAAGCATGTCTCAGCACCTTAAGTGCCAGTCCTCAGGCTTATTAGTCGCGTTACCCATCTTTTAGGTCTCGCTTACCCCAGACCCTTGATTGGCCCCAATTCTTTTCCTTTTACCTTTCTTCTAGACCCACTTTGGGCACCAGTTGCAGGGGGTTCGAGCCTGTGACCCCCACACGAGGATGACTGGGGATGAGTAAGTGCGCTGTTTGCCAGCCCTTGCTGCCCCCAGCACCAGGAACAATCAGACACAATAGGGAGTCTAGTCAAGCAGGGACTCATTTATTGCAGGCATTACAGAGCTTATAAAGGCATCTGGAAATCCCCCTCCCTCCTGAAGGTGTATCGTAAGGATGATCACGCGATGATCATGCGTTCCTCAGCAGTGCGGAAGTATCCTTTAGACTTTTAAAACAAGCCAGGCCACGCCCCAGTAACTTCCTCATGAACCTCTGCAAGGCGGGGCCCCACAGAACTGCAGTCTCTCCCTCCACTTCAGTAGGACCACCCACTTTCTCTGCTAAACAAACTCCCATATTCATGATGACCATCACCTTGTCCTTACCCTCCACAAGGATCAGACACCAGAGCTTCTGCTCTCTTTTTTAAAAAATATTTTATTTATTATTTTTATTTTATGTGTATGAGTGTTTTGCCTGCATATATGTAAGTGCACCCATGTCACGCAATGCCTGTGGAAACCAGATCAGGGTGTTGGGCCCCCTGGAACTGGAGTTGCAGTTCACTAACTGCCATGTGGGTGCTGGGAATCGAACCTAGGTTCTCTGCAGGAGCAGTCAGTGCTCTTAACCACTGAGCAATCTCTCCCACCCCTGCTCTGCTCTCTTACCTTGCTTTCTCTCTGAGAAACTGTGTATCCAGCTTCTGAAGGCACTACTCTCCCCAACTCCCATAGCAGTAACCTTGGCCTTGAGATCTTCCTCCATCACCTCAGAATGTATATGTATGAAAGAGAGTCTCTATATTTCCTCTGTAAAACTGATTTCCTTGTATGTGCCAATGATACCACTCTGGCTCCAGGTCCTCAGCTGAAACATGTCCTAACCTCCTGCCAATCCCAGCAGCATACTTGACTTCCCCTTCCAGGGTCTTCTGACTCTGTTGCAGTACTGGTCACTCTGAATCAATGTCTCTCTCCCTTCTAGATGGTTCATTCCATAACTATCCATTAAGCACTGATTTTATGTCAGATCCTACCAACCAAAAGAGGAAAAATGAAATTCTTCCCCTCAAGGGTTCAAAAACCAGGAGAGAAGACACTTACAGCAGGGCCTGATACTATGATAGAAAGTAAAGGCCTTGAAGAGTTGCTAAAAGCTCTTGCAATGTGTTGGTAATGAAACCCTTTGGATGGTTGCAAAGAATTTTGCATGGTTGATAGGAACTTTGGACCCTGAAAGGTCCCAAGATAAAAAATGGGGGAAGTGAAACAGAACCTTCCCACCCTCTGTGGTTACCCAGGGTTGAATTCTTTATTTTCCAAAACTGCCACATTCCTGTAAACTTTGTGACCACGTTACCTGTAAACCACTTACTTAAGTATCATATATGTGCTATTTGCCTTTTGCTTGCATTCCTCACATATGAGTATAAATGTCCCCAAAATCTTGAGCTAGGGGCTGGCATCATTAGGGAATGATCTGGGTGTCAGTCCGCTGGCATAAATTAAAACTCTCTTTCACTTGACTTGGTGGCTGGTGTCTTGACTCTCCTGATTATAATCTTTTTTTCTGTACTCTTTTCTATGGGAAAAGTCAGTCACAATATATGTTTTATCTCATTTTCCTCTTTGTTTGCTTAAATAAATCAAGGCTGTCTTCTTGGGTTACCAAGAAGTCTAGTACAATATCATTTTGAATAGCCTTGTCCCTAGATTGGACATCATGGCTGGTTGGATCATTTCCTGGTCTTGGCCATTTTGTTGTTTCTAGGTGTTCAGGGATGTAAACACGTCAACCTTGAAGGCCTTGATATAGTTCTTGCAAGGAACAGTGGACTGATGTGGGGCCGTCAAAGAATCCTGAGGAGACAAAGAAGCAGAGGCCAGATGGGACAAGAGGAACCAGGCACACAAACCACAGACAGATTGCCTGGAAGGGTCTGTGGCCTTAGGAACCTGGGGACGACCGATGGAAAAGTGAGAGGCTTACTTTCAGAGTCAGAAAGGCAAGACAGGAAAATCATAAAAGAAGCTGTTGTGGAAAAATCAGAGACCAACAGCCGAAGTCAGATGAGGAGAGGAAGTTTAATTTGACACTAGCAGGACTGACACCACAAATAAAGGAGTCAGACCCCTTGTTCAAGTTTGGAGGGGCTTTTATACTCATGTGGGGAAATGCAAACAAAAGGCAAAACAGCACATAGGTGACAAGTAAAAGGTACATGTAATATTTAAGCAAGATAACATGTGGCCACAAAGGTTATAGGAATGGGAAAACCTTGGGAAACAAAGAGTTCCATCCTGGGCAACCACAGGGGACAGGATGGGAGACTCCTGCTCTCCTTCCCCATACCTGTCTCTTAAGAGTTTTCCCCGTTGCAAAGTTCTTAATTACCATCACATTGCAAAAGCTTTCCACCACCACAATAAAGCTACTATACATAAGCAAAAGAGCTCACTGGTGAAAACTAGCCAAAGCCAAAGGAAGGGAAAGGATTAGCCCAGGATAGTAAAGCAATGAAGACAGCAGGGCGAGCAGCTTCTGTGTATGTGATTCATAATTAAGCCTCATGATTTTTGAATAATAAATTTTCAAGTTTTACTTTCAGTCAGTGTAAATATTAAATGTGTCAAAAATGTCATCCTTTGGGGACTGAGATTTAACTCAGCACTTACGAGCTCTTGCTGTTCTTGCAGGTGACCATATTCAGTTCCTAGTACACACATCAGGCAGCTCATAGCCCTAGAACTCCAGTTCCAGGCCATCAGATGCCTTCTTCTGGCTCTGTGGGCTTCTCCACTCACATGGCACTCTATAGACATGCAGACACACAGACATACACATAAAATATAATTTAATGATTTTTTTAACTCTACCCTTCATAAATTTAATATTTTGTTTCTTTGACATTTATTTAGTTTTTTAAATTTGAATAAAGCATCTTACACTCTTTGTTTCAGTCAGCATTGGCCACTTTTAATCTGTGTTTGGGGGAGGTTTTTTATTTACTTGTCTTTGTTTTTGTTTTGTAACATTTGCAGTGCTGGAGATCAAACTTTGCACAGGCTATGTAAGCAGGACCACAGAGGTATTACCCACAGCTCCTTGGGTTTTTGTAGTTTAGGCTGGACTAGAATCACCATTCTCCTACCTCTACCTGGCTGGGTGCTGTCATTAAAGATGTACACTACCACCTGAGCTTCCTCTCTCTCTCTCTCTCTCTCTCTCTCTCTGAACTTTATCTGTGGTCATCTGTCCTCGGAAGGGGAAAGGCACCATGTGAACCAATATGGATGCAGTTTATGTAGTCATGCTCAACATACCATCACAGTCATCCTCACCCACCTCTCCTGAGCTTTCATCCCACCTCCCATCTCCTGCTTTCCTTTATGACACTGGGACTCTATAATCTGTAGCGAAGGAGGGCGGATATGTTCACATCAAAGGAAAGGGGACTGTTTGAATTAAGAAGCTCCTTCTCTGTGTTGGGCCCTGTAGATTAAAAAGAAAAGATGCTGGCCAGGCATGGCACACACACCTTTAATCCCAGCACTTAAGAGGCAGAGACAGGCAAATATCTGTGAGTTTGAGACCAGCCTGGTCTCCATAGCAAGTTTCAGGCCAGCTGGAAATACAAGGAGATGCTGTCTCAAAAAAAAACAAAGGAAGGAAGGAAGGAAGGAAGGAAGGAAGGAAGGAAGGAAGGAAGGAAGGAAGGAAGGAAGGAAGGAAGTCAACTATCTATTCATGTCCATGAGGAACATCCAGACTGAGACAGAAACAGACACATATATATAAGCACACAGCATGCTGCTCTAAAGCCTGTAGATGAGGCATCACACAGACGAGGAGCCCAAGTGTTGGGACAAGAAGCAGGTGGAAAGGATGGCCAATTCTGGGGTTGGCACACTGAGGCCTGGTCTTTAGGAGGACAGAGCCCTACCCTACAGTGTAAGTCTACGAACTCTAGACCATGCACACACTGGTCACATCTATCCTGTCCTTCTCTCCCTCAGGTCCAAGTGGATGCCACTTACAAATGCCAGTTGGCAGGTTCTTTTCTCCACTATTAAGGTCACTGGAAGCCTGAAGGAGCTGGACCTAAGTGGAAATCCTCTGAGCTATTTTGCAGTGAAGACTCTTTGTAGGGCCCTGAAACACCCTGGTTGCTGCCTGAAGACTTTGTGGTGAGTCTGACCTGGGTTCTTCCCTGAAGCTGGGGTGGATGGGAAAGCAAAGGCGGAACCTGGGTCTAAGACAAGGCTTGGTCTTCGTACTCATCAGGTATTCACTGGACTCTCTCTGACCATGCCTGTGACAGGTTGCTGTAAGAGTGAGACCACGGAGGACAAGTCACAGCCTTTGGGTTGCAACAGCAAGAGAAGGAAGGAAGGAAGTCAACTATCTATTCATGTCCATGAGGAACATCCAGACTGAGACAGAAACAGACACATATATATAAGCACACAGCATGCTGCTCTAAAGCCTGTAGATGAGGCATCACACAGACGAGGAGCCCAAGTGTTGGGACAAGAAGCAGGTGGAAAGGATGGCCAATTCTGGGGTTGGCACACTGAGGCCTGGTCTTTAGGAGGACAGAGCCCTACCCTACAGTGTAAGTCTACGAACTCTAGACCATGCACACACTGGTCACATCTATCCTGTCCTTCTCTCCCTCAGGTCCAAGTGGACGCCACTTACAAATGCCAGTTGGCAGGTTCTTTTCTCCACTATTAAGGTCACTGGAAGCCTGAAGGAGCTGGACCTAAGTGGAAATCCTCTGAGCTATTTTGCAGTGAAGACTCTTTGTAGGGCCCTGAAACACCCTGGTTGCTGCCTGAAGACTTTGTGGTGAGTCTGACCTGGGTTCTTCCCTGAAGCTGGGGTGGATGGGAAAGCAAAGGCGGAACCTGGGTCTAAGACAAGGCTTGGTCTTCGTACTCATCAGGTATTCACTGGACTCTCTCTGACCATGCCTGTGACAGGTTGCGAGGATTACTATGATAAACAAGAGGATTTTTTTCTCAGGGAGTGTGAGAGACTGGCATTGATCAAGGAACTCCCCTAACAAATGCGTAGCAATAGGCTCATGAGGGCTCCAGTGGAGAAAACTTCCTGAGGAAGTGGCTTGTAGGAGACATAAGCGTACAGTAGTGAAGTGAAGTGGGTTGGAAAAAAGCTCCAAGCCCAAAGAATGGCATCACCTCCGTTTCCTCCTGCTCTTTACCCTGGTAACCACCTCCTACTCTGTTTTTATGGACTTCACTTTTATTAAGGTTTCACATACAAGTGAGATCATGCTATATTTTTCAGTGTCTGACTTATTTCACATTGGATGGCTCTTGAGTTACCTGAGTAAGGTGTCCTATAAATTACAGAGCTCAGGCCTCCCTCTAAGCATCAACAGAGCAGTGGACCCATTACCTTGATTCCATTGGCCCTGTAGCTCAGCTATGAGACTCATGGAATTATCCACCCAGATAAGAAAAGGCATGCCAGAGAGTTTAGCCCTACCAGCACAGTATGACAGATGTCAGAAAGGGGGACTTGACCACAGGCGCCAAGAGCAATGAGCCTTGAAAGAAATGACACTGCATCTCCCATGTAGGCTGGTTGACTGTGGCCTCACGTCCAGCCATGGCCGGATCCTGGGCTCAGTGCTCAGTGACAGGTCCAACCTGATAGAGCTAGACCTGCAGCTGAATGACCTGGGTGACCATGGCGTGGTGCTGCTTTGTGAAGGGCTCAGGCATCCCGCCTGCCGCCTTAGGCACCTGCGGTAAGTAATGCCCTGAGAGTCTCTTCTGGGCAGGGGGCAGGGGAGGGACATAGGTAGATTACTATGGGATGGTGCATGGAAAAAGAAAGAAGACAGATAAATGCAAAGTCAGCCTGGACCCTTACCAGCTATGCCACACCCTGTGCCTGGGTCTTGTCTACTCTTCAACTCTCTGATATAAAGGAGCAGCTGGGCATGATATGGCAATAAAGAGTCTGCTTGTGGTCTCACTGGCTGCTGAAACAGGCCCAAGGTGGCTGGCGCCTTTGGTCCCTACCTAACCTTTAGCCATGACCCAATCCAACACACTGAAGAGCCTCTCTGGAACTGGCCTCTGCCACACATGTGCTTTCAGGCCTCATCTCAAGTCTCAGCTTCCTCCTTCCTGTCTGGAAACACAAACAACCTTCGAATTCAGGGGCTCCATTTCCCTCCCCAGGGAGAACAGCCCGTAGAGCAGAAATGATGACTGCACAGCTTCTCACAGGCACAGGACCCTTTCTCCTGCCTCGTCTGTGCCTCAGCAGGCAGAATGGGAGTGACAAGTCCTGGTTTCATGAATAAAGGACTTGGAAGGCAAGAGAAGGCAGTCACTATCCCAAACCCAACAGAGACACTGGATGTGAGACAGAGACCGATATGCGGTTTGATGATGAGAACACATGTGTGAGGACATGATTTCTATCCTCAACCCTGAAAAGGGAAAAAAGGAGTAGAGCCAAGACTGTCTTCTTTCAGCAGAACTTCCATGAATCCCCAGGCACCAGGCCCAAGGTAGTCACTGAACAGCTACCCTTCAGGAACAAAGATATGTCCCTGGCCACGGGGAATGCGCATGGCTACATGAATTCCCTGGGCCAACAAAAGCCACCTCACTCATGGTCATGGCCCCTTCCTGGGACTGTTTGTATCCAATGGCTGACCTGTAGGGACAAAGGAGTACAGGGTAGGTATAAAGGGTCAGTCCTCATCCCAACTCTGGACAGTTCCAGAGATCATCCTCTTGGCTTCAGATGTCCCTGTGAGCTGAGGGAGAGCTAACTGAGACCACTTCATGGCTGCATCTCTCTCTGCTCAGGTTGCTGTTTCTCTCTCTCTCCCTCCCTCCCTCCCTCCCTTTCCCTCTTCCTCTTTCATTCCAATTTTGGCCCAAGAATACACTCTAATAAGCTTCTTCACTGGCTCCATCTGCAGATAGCACATCCAGGATCCTGGGCCCTGAGTTCTCAGGATCCAAGTCAACTACTGGGAGAAACCCGTTCCCCTCGTGTTTTTTACAGGCTGGATGAGGCCCCTTTGAGTGTTCAGGTGATAATGGAACTGAGAGCCCTGGAGGCAGAGAGACCTCAGTTGCTCATCTCCAGTACATGGTAAGTGGTAGACCCAGAAATTTCTCTAGCTAATCTAGGCCAGACTGAACCCAGGTGTCTGGTCCAAAGCTCAGAGATGGAGAAGGGGTCCTGGTGCAAGCAGGAGAGACAGACAGAGGCAGGAAGAAGCCAGAAAATCACAACAACCAGAATGAGATCAATACTGTGTGTGAGCGTGTGTGTGTGTGTGTGTGTGTGTGTGTGCGTGTGTTTGTGTGTTGTTACTTCATGACTCATATAACCTGTCTATATAAGTCTTCCCACTGGTCAAAGAAGATATGAAAAGGAGATGGGGTGCTGGAGAAATGGCTCAGTGGTTAAGAACACTGAATGTTCCTGCAGAACACCCAGTTCAAATCCCAGCACCCACGTGGCAGCTAACAACTGTCTGTAGCTCCAGTTCCAGGGGATCCAACGCCTTCCTCTGGCCTCCATGGGCATTGCACGACACAGGTGCACTTACATACATGAAGGCAATACACACATACACATAAAATAAAAATAATAAATAAAATATTTTAAGAAAGAAAGAGAGAAAGAAAGAAAGAAAGAAAGAAAGAAAGAAAGAAAGAAAGAAAGAAAGAAAGAAAGAAAGAAAGAAAGAAGGGTAAATGAATGGTGAGCCTTCAGGGCACAGCACAGTGTGGTAACAAGGAGCCACCAGAGCAGGAGCCATCAGTGAACAACGAAAGCAGTCACCACAGGGAGAGACAAAGGCAATGGGAGGTTGGAGGGTGGGGAGCACCACTTTACTGGCGTCCAGACCTCCAGCCACACACACAAGCACTACACCCTGGGTTTGTGCAGGATCCTCAGGGCAGGAACGTCATCTTCCACCCTCGGGGAATGTGTTACAGTCCTATGTTCTCCCATGAACTTCATGTGTCCTCAAGTTCCAACTGCTGTGCCTCACCCGATGGAAGGGAAAGCTAGAGGTTTAGGAAACTCATTCATTCATTCAACAAACATTTCCCACAGACCCACTGTGCATCTTGCACTCTTTGGGGATCTGAGGACACAGCAGTGAAAAAGACAGATGAAACCCAATCTCCATGAGCTCAGTCCACAGGGAGGCAGGCACATGTTCTCTCAGTAGTCTGCATAATTGTACCCGGGGACCATGTGGGTGAGTCTGTCAGACATCATCCAAAGGAGCAGAGCCGAAGCTGTCAATGATAGGAAGTGCGATGGGTCAAGGGGTCAATTCTAAGCAGACATAAAGGTTTTGAGGAAGGAGAGAGCTCAGCTCCTCTGAGGGACAGGAAATCATAGGTCAAGACCAGCATCATCTGCCTCACCATCACCTGGGAGTTTCATAGAAATGCAGCTTCCCAGGCCCCACTCCACACCTGCTGACTCAGAATCTCAGGTGGAGCAGCCTCCTTCAATGGGGCTCTGTTTTAACAGGCCTTTCAGGTGACATTTGAGCACACTGAGTTTGAGAGTCATGGGTCTAGAAGTCAGTGAGCAGGAACAAGTGGCTGGAAGGGGATAGGGCCATGGTAAGGCCTTTGGACTACACTAAGAGCTTTCTGCTTTCTCCCCAGAGGCAATGGAGAAGCATTCCTGGGCTTCAGCAGTGAAGAATATATGTTCCTATTTCTTTATTTTTCATGCGTATGTCTTGCCTGCATGTATGCATGTGTACTACATGCATGCCTGGTGCCCATGGAGGCCAGAAGAGGGGGTCAGATCCCTTAGAACTAGAGTTACTAGTGGTTGCACACCATGATATGAGTACTTGGAACTGAACCCAGGTCCTCTGCAAGAGCAGCAAGTACCCTTAATCTCTCAGCCATTTATCTAGCCCTCTGTGTTCATATTTTATGGCCAGCTAAGGTATAGAAAATGGGCTGGAGGAGGGTCAGAGCAGAAGCAAGGCAGCCTGTCAGAGGATGCTGCAGTAGTTCAGGCCACAGTGACTCCATCCTAGAGTAAGTATGGCAGCTATGGAGACGAAGAGAAGAAAGGAGAGTTATTTGGGAGGTATCATCAAGGTGATTAGTTGTCAGGGTAGATAATTTTTAGTTCATTTAGTGTTCCTATAACACAATACCTGAAATGAGGAACTTTATAAAGAATGGAGGTTATTTCTGAGAGTTCTGGATAATAGAAAGGGCAAGGTCATGGGCTAGATGCTAGGGAATGGGATAGAAAAGGGAAGGGCCAGAGATCACACATAAGGAGAACAAGAGCCTGAATTTGCTTTTATAACAAGCCCTGTCAGGCCACAGGAATCTGTTCCTATGATATTGACATTAACCCATCATGAAGGCAGAGGCCTCATGCCCTGATCACCACATACCCTCCCCCTCGCAGCACAGTTGCACTAGGGGTTAACTTTTCAAAGTGTGAACTTGGATAATCCGTTCCAAATCAGAGCACTAAAGGAGAGGCAGACATCCCAATTTTGGCATGGGTGCTGGGAGAATGAGGACCATTCCTAGAGACAGTTTCTAAAGAAGAAGCGTAGGCCTGAGTTCGAATTCGGATGAGTTGGATTTTAGGTGGGGATGACAGACACCTGACACCTGAGAGAAAGAACATCTCTGTATGTAGGAAGCCACGTGTGATGACCCCTACTCAAGGCCTGGTTGGAAGAGAATCAAGTGACATCACCACCTCACTCAAACAACTGAAACTACAGTCAGGTATGTGAAGGAACCAGAATCTGAGCATTGGGATGCTGCCAGGGAGAGGGGTTCTGTGAGTGGTCATCACTTCTGTCCGTGTGTCTATGATATAGGGAAGTGGATGCTTCTCACCAAGAAGGATTTGCCCTTGCAAGACCTTCCACACCTAGAATCTAGCAGGTATTCTTCTTCCTTCTCTCTCAGCCTTGGGGGCTGCTGCTGCCCTCTATCAAGTCCATAGCATACTCCAGCTCTGCACCAGGGTTCCATGTCCCGTTCTGTGCTGCTGAGGTCTAGGAATCACTTTCCCCTCCCTACCCATCCATCTTTTGAACTAGATTCTTCTCTCCACCTGCCTACTGGAGACAGACTGGGGCAAACATTTCTGGACCAGTAGGAAAGGAGAGAAAGGATGAAACTGTGTTGGGAGCAGGTTGGAGAGATATTGCTCAGATACAAACAGCAAAAACAAAAGAACAGAAAGAAAAGCAGGCAGGGAGCCCCAGGAGCAGGGACAGAGACTCCAGGCACACTCACTTCCTGCTGGGACCAAGGCAGGCCAGCCTGGGAAATATCTCAGCTATGATCCAGTAGTAGAGGGCCAGGGAGACCAGCCAGGACAATATACACTGACCACTGTCCTGCTTCTCACAGAGGAAGGATCCTCACAGGCAGCACAGTTGGAGGCCTTCTGCCCTTTACCTTCCTCTCCAGGAGACATGCACACAGAGCCTCTGTGGACTGAAGACACTTTCTGGGGCTCCACAGGGCCTGTGGCTACTGAAGTGGTTGGCAAAGAGAAGAACCTATATCGGTGAGTGAAGGGCTTAGCCTAGCCCAGGCTGGCCTTCCCTACTCCACTCCCCACAGCCCATCTCCACAGATAGCACCTCATCCAGTCTCCACTGTATTCCTGCCTCTTCCCAAGTCAGGAGGGACGGACAAGACTGAGATACTTAGTATGTGCTTTTTGTTATAAAAAAGGAAGTTTTATCATGAAATTTTTCAAACATTTATAAAATGATATACAAGTATTTCCTTATCCTGTCGCCCAGCTTCAACAACCACTTTGCCAAATTCACTTCAATGTTCTCGTTCTTCCTTTTCCATCACTATTATAGTATTTTAAGTTCAAGACATTGGGCGATTCAACCCTAAATATTTCAGTGTGCATCCTCCCAAAATTAAGATTGAGAGATAGTAGGTACTGGGTTCAAAGGGGTTCAAATGAGATGGTGAGGCAGATTGTTAGGGCTAAGTAGTTTGAGTTGATAATGTATGGGTAGACAGAAAGACAGACAACAGCATGGCAGGGACTGTGAGGACTTTGGACCCACAGGCAAATGGGAGTTGCTTCTTATACTTCTCAGAGGAGCCTGAGGTTGAGCTGTCTCTCATTCCTCAGGAGGTGTTAGAGGAAGAGATGGAAAAGATGTGTGACCACCAGCATTCTCAGGTACCCCTTTGATGTACCAGAGTCTACAAATTCACTTGATGAAATGAGAAATACAGGTACCTGGGAGTCTGTCAGGTAGAAATTCAGAGAGTGCTCTCAGTAGGGTACCTGCCACCATCCCCCCATCTGAGAGACTGGAGAGAGGAGAGGGCTGCTACCGGCAGTGAGACCTGAACAGTCCTGTCTGAATTATAACATTCCTATCCTTTTTGTTTATATAAAACGGAAATACAGAAATCATATTATGGGAAAGGGAGGAAAAGGAGGCACCACAAGGGATAACGGGCATTGACACTATCTAGTCCAAACTCTATCTAGTCTAGTCTAAACTAAACATGAATACCATAGGGTTAGGTTAGGGCTTCCTGTCCTAGAGCAAGTAGCCAGATGTCAGTCTCAAGGGCAAAGGCTGGCATCTGAATTTGCACATCAGGGAAATGTTACTGAGTCCAAGTAACATTCTGAATGAACTAGCTCAACACACAGATTAAAAGAGGGACCTGGCTGGCCAAGATGGCACACACCTTTAATCCCAGTACTCAGGAAACAGAGGCAGGCAGATCTCCATGAGATTGAGGCCAACCTGGTCTACATAATGAGTTCCAGACCAGTTGGGGCTATAGGGAGACCCTGTCTCAAAAATAAATAAATAAATAAAATAAAATAACAAAAAATGTTGATTGATTTATGGGACTGGAGAGATGGCTCAGCAGTTAGTTAAGAGCACTGGCTGCTCTTACAGAGGACTTGGGTTCAGTTCTCAGCATCCACATGGCAGCTAACAACAAGTTCCAGGGGATCCAATGCCTTCCTCAGGCATTGCATGCATGGGTGCACTTATATACATAACATGCAGGCTAAAACACTCATACACATAAAATAAAAGTAAATACTTTGCTGGACTATGGCGTCTAGTAGGGGCACTGTTCCCCTGTTAGACCACCATGCTGTGGAGATTTCACTGATAAGCTTCCCTGTCACGTGTAGAATGCATTAGCCAACAGCAGGTGCCTTGTCCCTTTGGCTTTTTCGTTCTGTAGACGCCCCTCTTCCTCAGGGCTCCCCGAGCCTTAGGTGTAGAGGTTGCATTGTAGATGTGTCACTTAGGGCTGGGCATCTCACAGTTATGTATTCTCTGCATTTGATAG